CTCTAATATTCTGTATCAAGAAATATAACAAGGTCTGGAGAGATGGTTCAACAGTTAAGAGCACTTGCTCTTGCAGTGGACCTGAGTTTGATTCCCAGCACCCATGTCAAGTGACTCAAATGCTTGCAACTCCATTCAGGGGGATCCACTATCTCTGGCCTCTGAAGGCACCTACATTCACATGCACATACACACATATAATTAAAAGTAAATCTTTTTTAAAAATGTGTATAGCAGCCTGATTCTCTCTCTCTCTCTCTCTCTCTCTCTCTCTCTCTCTCTCTCTCTCTCCCTCTCCCTCTCCCTCTCCCCCTCCCTCCATCCCTCCCTCCCTTCCAGCTTCTCAGGCCTTAGCCATGGATAAGGATGGTTATAAATTGAAAAAAGAGGGGATGGAGAGATGGCTAAACAGTCAAGAGCACCGGGGTTTGAGTCCCAGCATCCACGTGGTGGTTAGCAGCCATCTGTAACTCCAGTTCCAGGGGATCCAGTGCCCTCTTCTGACCTCTGCAGGCATTGTACAACATGGATGCACTTAAACACACGCAGGCAATACACTCATACACACAACATTTTAAAAAATAATAAATACCCTTTACTTCCCTGGGCTACACAGCCTCCAGGGGTGTCCTGGTGCCAACACCTTTCCTAGGTAAGTCCAGTGGCGCCCACCATGCCTTGACTCCCCCAGCCTCTTTCACCCTCCCAGCTCCCCAGCGTCTCTCCTAGCCTGGGTACTGACCCATTTCTTGTCTCGGCACCCCAGACACCAGGGCTAACCTCTCAGCCCAGACCCACCACTGCTTCCTGATTCTTTGCATCCAGACCAACCCACTTCCTCCCTGTGGTCCCCAGGAGCCCTCTGAGCCTGGTATCGCCCTCACCTACCTTTACTTCCCTGGGCATCTCAGCCACCAGCTTCCTGGTCCTATCATTTTTCCTGGGTGGGTCCTGCGGCCTACCACGCTTTAACTCCCCCAGCCTCATTCACCCTCCCAGCTCCCCCTCTAGCCTGGGTACTGGCCCATTTCTTGTCTTGGAACCGCAGACTCCTGGACTGACCTCTACACTCAGAATCCCCACTGCTTCTAATCCTTTGCATCTAGACCAACCCAGTTCCTCCCAGTAGTCCCCAGGAGCCTTTGAGGCCTCTTCCCACCACCACCTCCCTTTGCATCACTGAGTGGCACAGCCACTAGCTTCCTGAGACCAGCATCTTTCCTGGGCCCTGCTCCCAGGCCAGCCCAGCCCCCAAATTCCTCAGGGCAGCATCTTTCCTGGAGGGATCCAGACCTTAAAAGAAAGCCTGAGAGCATCTGAGCCCCATCTCACTTGGGCCTCTGTGGGAACTCCTGAAGACAAAAGCAATTTGGGCACTCCAACATAAAATCAAAAGAGAGAACCCAAAGCCTAGACCAAGGAGCTTTTCACACCCAACAAGTAAACCACAAAGGCACATAAAGTTTACAAAAAGAAGCAGACCTAAACTCAACAAAGGAAGGCTTGAGTCTCACCCAAGAATCAGAAACTAGGAAAGAAATTCACGTCAAAGTCACAGAGAAAAAATAACATGAAAAACCAAAATAATATATGCCAACCAAGTACCAATACTCCTCTAGAGGAGTACAATGAGAACCCCCTAGAGATAACACAGGACATGGAACTCAAAAGAACAATAATAAACATGATGGAGTTTTACTTAGCAGTAAAGAAAGATGAAATCATGAAAGTTGTGGGTAAATGGGTAGAACTAGAAACCGTTATACTAACTGAAGTAACACAGACTCAGAAAAAACAAACAAAAAACCACCATGTATTCTCCCTCATATGTGGATTCTAGCACCAAATCCTGATAAGTGAGTATGTATCCAGACATAACTACAGGAACCAGGATAATGAAAAGGAACCAGGGAGGTAAAGGAAAAGAAAGAATCTGAAAGAGAAGAACAGTAGGAAACAAGCCTTAATACGGGAGATATGGATAAAAATTGGGTTAGTTTAAGGGAGTGGGGAGGGAAGGTTATACAAGGAACCTAGGGGATAAAGGGAAAGAAGGAGCTCAAGAGAGGTAGGACCATAGGAGAAGGGTATAGGAGAAGGGTATTTTTAAGGGAGAAAATGGTGGCACTTTAAATGGGGACACCATGGTGGAAAGGTTAAACAATGCAAGAGATAAATAATTCCTAGGTAGTTTAAAAATAAAACAGAGGGAACCGTATTAATCGAACAACCTACTGACAAATTATACATCCAACTAGCTCAAGGAATATAATACATGTCTACACAAGGTTTATCTGAGAATGTTTGGTCTTTGCCCAAGCTTTATCTACATGGCACATGGTAATTAAAAGTACCAGACTGGTGGAACTAACCCATGTTTAACAGCCGTACTTTGAGGCCTATACTAATTTTGTCAGAGGGGCATAAAGGACAGTGTTTGCTCCTTGCCCTCCAAGGTCGACTAGTTCCAGGGGACTATGTGCGTCTCTCAAAATGTCCTGTAGCTATGGTGAGTCACCTGTCCTCTTGATCAAGGAGGCCGTGGAGACCCCATGAGATGGACTTGAACCAGTGTCCCGCCTACAAAGTGGA